GTGGTGCTCTTCTTGCCTTTCTGGGAGTAACCTTTGTCCTGAGGTTTGCCTTTACCTTGGTTGCTTGTGGCTTTGCCGGTACCTTTTTCTGGGGTCTTACCTTTACCTGATTTCCCATATGAGGAGTACTCCATGCCTCGATCTTGCATTGCTTGGTGGATAATGGGCTGTGCACCACTCATGGTGGTAAGAAGGTGGGCGGGGTTGTGAGCGCAGCCAAGGTCTAATCTCAAATGGGAAATACTGAGCGGCTTGTTGGGGGGAAAGATTCGAGAGGTCTGTTTGCGAGTAGTGAAGTCTAACAGGTGTGGTGCTGTGTCACAGCGTTCTGGTATGCCTGTAGAAACCTAAGAGTGGAGGTCATGCGCACCTGAAACATTCTAGGAAATACGTTAAGGACATGGGTTCTATGTTGGGGCTGGGTTGCTATGTTGCAAACTTGTGTTTCTGTGCTAGGGATGTCAAGGACCATTGCCACTAATTCCTCCGAGTCGGGATCATGTAACTGAAGTGCGTTGTAGTCAATTTTCAGGTACTGATCCAAGGAGCACCGTCGGAGATTTGAGCCTTTGTTACTTTCGATTCTTTCAATCAGAGAAATATCCCCTCTATCTTGATGGGAGTGTCCGGGCTGTAGTTTTGGGGGTCGCTGTTCCGCAAGTAGCGCTTGGAAGGACTGAAAGAAGTGTTTGGCCATCGCCACTGTGAGAAATACAATACGAATAAAACTAGTAGGACGAGTCAGCAAATGATTGGTAATAGACTGTACATCAGTGCGGTCTACCTGCGCTCTGCGTCATATGGAGGACGTAATACATATTATCGTCGATGATTTCTTGGTGCAGAAAGGAGGAACCTGATGTATGAGCACGTTCGCTTATGCATCTCTTCTTCTACCGAGGATAGGCTGGTTTTAAGGAGGGTGTTCTTGGTTTCTATAGCTTTGATCTGGGGCGTGAATTTGCTTATAACATGATCCTGGATTTGGGCGATGGTGGGTGTAACGCAAGTAGCATGGTACTCTTCGAAAGCTTCTTTCATGCTTTCTTTTGTGACATCAGGAGCTTGTGTTGAGCTCGAGGCTGCAGGAGGGGAACATCAGTAGACATCGCGAACTGCCCTAAGGTGGGGTCCAGGCGGGCTTCTTTTCAGTGCGTCTACTGGCCATAAGCACTCGGAATTTCTCAGGGTCATCCTTCAATTCCTGAACTAACTCTGGATCCATATCTCCCCAGGAGGGTGGTTCGTCGTCTTCTGTTTTGGCTAAGGAGGGAGCGGATCTGAGGCCTGTCAAGGAGGATGCAACTGAGATGTGGGATTGCTGCTTGTGCTGGTGACTAGCAAGAAGACCGTCATACATCATTTTAGTTACATGGCTGCCTATCGTCAGGAGGGCACAACATAATAATTTCGTTCTCGAAGGCTCTGAGGTATAGGCCGGGGTTTCCTGAAGGAGCGCGGGTTCTTGTGAGTTCTCTGTTGCCGCCGGCGATTGTAGGATACCAGGAGTGCCTGCTGCGTCAAATGGCAAGGCGGGGGCCATGGCTTGCTCGGGCGACGGCGCCGTTGCCATGGCTAACCTAAGTGCTTCCTAACTTAAGTAAGGTCAAAACTGTGATGCCAAGCTGGTTGAAGCTGTGTAACCCCTCGGGCTGTAAAGGCTGTGTAAAAGCCGCAATGGCGAGAATGGCCTGGGCCTAGAAAAGTGGTGCCTCTATGGCATGATCTGCGTTACCCCAAGGGCTGTAAACGTCGTAAAGTGCTGACGCCTGCTGCATGCTGTTGGCTCTACGGCCCGGGTCGTAAGACCGTGTGGGCACTGGGCTGTCCCGGGCTGGGACCCTCCTGCTGCTCGAACCTATATACATACATATACACATACATATGGGCGCGTCGTCATTCCCCCCCCTACATTTCCGCATCTTCGGTATTCGCACGATGCGCATGGTTATCCCCCGCTCTGCGCTTTCGCATCTTCCTAAGGAAACAGCGAATCGCCATTTCTAAGGCTTCTAAGGCTCTAAGGAGGTGTTTCTTCAAGAAGCTATCGGAGAATCGCAATTTCTAGGGCAGCGGTTTGCGGCAAGGCATTGGGGAATTGCAGTTTGTTACCAAGTAATCCCAAGTTGCGCCGGAATTTACACATTGCAGCAAGTAGGAAGGGAAAGACTTTAAGACTGGTAAAACTAAACGTTTCAGCATAAACACAAAAGGATGGTGCAATACACGAAATATGATATAGCACAACAGGGATTGCGATGACGTTAGAATATAGATATGATACGATTAAGCAGGATCAGGCAACATAAGACGGAATACTAACTCGAAGTATGGTATAAAACCATAGATTTCAATACGCATGAAAGAAGTTTCGGTACATAGACAGTTCGGACATGCAACATATGATATTTGTGAAATGCTGTATTTCGCGCAACCCAAGGACACAAGACAGAATGTAAACTAACATGATGATAGAAAGCAGCACTTTTAGAGTGACACAATACAGTATGCCGCTTTATTTTAAAAGTGTATTTTCGGCAGAATAACATGATGTAACGAATCCTGCTTGAAACTGGTATAGTATCGTATGCACTATACACCATATAGCACATTCCATGAGAAGACATAATATGCTCCCATGCAACATGATGTGATCTGGCATGGTGCATTAAGCATGTTGATTTGATGCAACATGCAAAAATGAGATGGTTAAAAATCCAGGCGCGTACTCTAAATGACACAATACAGTGAAATGTCATCAGCTATGATATGGTATGATATGGTATGTCTGAACCTACTAATGGACAATATGAGAATGTCGGGAATCAGTATGAACCATACCAAGATGTTACAAATAATACGCAGTATTGTGAGATGATATGATGCGATATAAGCTAAGATGAGATAATATCTAACCAAGCTTTTGTTGCCGTATGTCATGTGCTGTTCATATACCGTATGATCCATTATGACATATGTCTAACCTACAAAAATTAGTGTAGCATAAGACAGAATAATAACACAATGCTTGCAAGAGTATATCCGCAGAACAACGTATGCAACACAGCATAATAAATAGAACATGATTTCATTTGCTTACGTAGTATGTTAGCGAATATGCACGTTGTAACGGCATTTCACACATGACACTGGTAGAGTATAGCATTGTTTTGCAGAGCAGAGTATAATAAAGTGTACTGTTTTTGGTAGTATATAACCTAGCATACACTACAGTGCACAGTAAATCATATAGCATTGTATATAATACAGTAATATAGTATGTAGTATAGTATGTGGTATAGTATGCATTACAGTGTTTCCTCGAGTTCATAGTATAAAATGCAATATCACATATAGTGTAATGTGTAGCCGTAGTAGGATGGGGGAGAAAAGCATAAACTGCATAACATGTAAGAAAAGGCAACATAGTTCAATGTGATAGTGAAGTATATCCAGAATTAAGAACCCTGCTGGCTTTGAGCGCTTTGGCTCTTGACGACCTTGGTGAACCGAACTAGCTGTCTGTTCTCACACTCGTAACGCTAGAGGCCTGACCATACACACAGATCGCTGTATGAAACAACTGTCATTTTACGTACTGCTTGACCTGCAGCAGGGTACAGGCAGGCGTGCGTTTCGAAACGGAGCGTATGTTTCGAAACACGCGCCTGCCAGGGTCCCAACCCATTAACCAGTTAACCCATTGACCCATAGTATTCTGGCCAAATGGACTGGGCAGGCATAAACCCAAAAACCCATGAACCCAATCATCTGGCCTACTGGACTTAGGAGGCTCCAACCCATTAACCCGCCAGTATCATTTTGGCCCAATTGTCTCAGGAGGCATTAACCCATTAAGCGATTAACCCAACCATTCTGGCCAAATGAACTTGCATTAACCCATTAGACCATTAACCCAATCATTCTGGCCAAATGAACTTGGGAGTAGGGTCCATTCCCACTTGGGCAAATCATTGGGTTAAGGGGTTAATGGGTTGATGGGTTAACGGGTTTTGTGGAGTGGATCCCCACTTGGGCAAATCATTGGGGTAATGGATTAACGGGTTGGGCAAATCATGGGGTTGATGGGTTAATGGGTGGGTTGGGGCCCACGAGTTTCGAAACCAGATAGCAGAATCGAGAACAGAAGAGCGAAATTGAAAAAATGCAGGGGGATGACTACCTACCCATATATATATATATATATATATATATATATATTATATACGCACTGCACATATTTATATATATATATATATACATATATTGTCTCATATATTGGGTATGCACCGCATGCAGCGGTGGACAGCATTTACGACATAGTACACACGTGCACATAAAGCGCATATGATGTATGAAACATCCGTATACACGAATCCATATGCGCACAACTCGATGAATCCATCGATTTGTCCGTTTATGTATATATTTACAGAAGTCTACAAATACATATCGCAATAGCGTTTAGGACGAATGATTGATTTTTAGGCAAGGCCTGCTCGATGGACGAAAGCTCCACTATGAGGAGATGTTGAATAGTAAATACCCTTATCTAGCCAGATCTTCATGATGAATCGTCTTGAAATTGCGGACTCTTTTCAACGGCCTGCAGTCTTCACACCTTGTTTTACCATGTCCACACGTACCTTAGGGCACTGAGAAGAATAGGTCGAACAAACAAACATGAACGACAGCCCATCCCTGCGAGACTATGACTGCACAGGGCGAACGCTTTCGCATGCACCATGCGAAGCCAAGGTCGGGAGAAATATGTCGAGTCATATGTGAGACGGTGAATCGCAAATGCGACTAAACTGCACGGAGAACCATCATTACCGAGGAGCCCCTGCGCAGCCTGCCGGACCCCAAGCTTCCACAGCCTCGGAAGGCAGATCCAAGGAGCTATCAACCTCAGTTTGACGGGAGAGGTTCGCACGATGTGGAACGTTGCAAGACTGTTTGTGCGTAAAGAACAAACTTTGACGTAGCTGGGCACCTAGCTATTTGACCGATGGCTTCAGACAGCACCTCGCGGAGTTGTTTGTCCCATGAAGATCCCACCCTGGACACAACCCAAAAGCGGCTGAGGGAAACCATGTGACAGCCTCACCAGCAGAAACCGGTGCTCTTGCCTGTCGTGTTCAGCGAATCTGCAAGGAATCAAACTCAGGCGATGTTGGCGCACGCAGCTTGCTGCAAGCGGGGCAGCGCACAACCCACGGCCATCCGCTGCCCGTCGCTCGCATGCGCTCGGCACAGTGGCCGCACACTGCAAGTCCGTAAGCTCCAGGCTACTGCACCAAGAAAGTCGCCTTCGAAATGCCGGCGTTCGAACTCGTCACCTCACTCATAAGACCCATGTGTCAAAAGTTAGCACGAGAAGTTCAGCCAGCGATACGATAGCTTTTTCTTGATACTGGCGTAAGAAACTACCAGTTGGCAGGCTCTGGAGCAGTCGCAAGTGTCTCAAACCAAAAGGGACAGTCTTTTTGGCATCGGCTTGCTGGCTACCGACGGCGGACTCCTGCTGACATGGAAGCAACCTTGGTGAGGAAAGATCAGCTCCAAGAACTGCTCTTGCAAAGAACTCGAAATTGCCATCGCGAGACCGAGGAGCAATCTCAAGCATGAGAAAATTTTTTCTTGCAGCCATAGAGGGCCATGGGCGGAATGCTCCCGCAGGATTGACGTCATGTCAAACAGTCCTCGACAAGCAAACAGTTGATACTCATCATGTCTAGTCACCGCGGCAAGAGACTGGACTGTTTGCTACTCTGCTGCAGGAGAGTACGTTGAAACTTCTGTTCGCTTCGTAATCTTCGTGGGTGCAGTGTAGACATACTCAAAGAACACGGACACTGTTACCAATGACACGGGCAAGACTCAAACATACGACATCTGTAGCAGGCTACCTTGTGCAACGACGACACGCTGCTCACAACACCTGCAGTAGATGCAAATAAGATCAAATAAGCATGCTCTGTTCAAACTGGGAAAAAAACGTGGGTTTGCACCGGGACTGCTGGAGATGCTCACGGACACTTGCAAGGAAGTCGCCTTGGTCGTTGCCTTCGAAACCCCAGTTCTCCAAAACCGGCTTCTGCACCTGCGAGGAAAACTTGCAGCTTCCCGACAGCCGACAGCTCTCTGACACTTCTACACTGTCCATCGGTTCTGGCCCAACCCAGCCACCTCAAACGCAACATCATGAAGCCGCTCAAGCAATGTTTGCTGGTCGCCAGATTCCTCCATGCATTGTCGAACTAAATCCTGAAACCAGGGTTGTGAATATCCTCTGGCAAGTTCATCCACGAAATCGCCCGTCAAAGTCAAGGTCAACTCCTGCACCAAGCAAAAGACATTGATTGCGCTGGACGCGAATCAAAAATTATTACTGCCCTGGACATGACAAGCAACCGAGTGACAGAAGTGCGCTCCCATGTTGAACATTGTCGGTCCGATGCACCAATACATGCCCGACCAGGCCGCCGACGAGCAGCATTTTCATCCATCAGACTCGTGCCCTGAAGCTTCATTAGATGTATGACAAGTCAATTAAACCGCCAAAAATGTCAACGGCTTCCTGTTGCCAAAACTCGCAAAGGACATACTAAACATTCCTATGTGAGCAGCATTCGCTTCTTCAGCCAAGAAGGGCTTCGCTGGCTCACAAAGGCCACTTCGCTGGAGCAGCTGCTCTTGAGCTGCCAGAAGCCAACTCACGTGATGTTCGCGGCTCCTGCAACCAAAATCGCTCGTGTTAGTATTTTGCGTGAGCCAGCTTCGGCTCAGCATCTGAAGTCATCCCAACCATCGCTACGGCAGGACCGAAGCATCCGTCCAAGACCGCAGAATGTTTTCAATGGTAGATCAATGTCCCACTCCCGACCTGTCCAACACACAACATGTTTCGTGCAGCTAATCCTGCATAGTTGTCTTTGAAACTTATCTGCTGTCGACGTTTATTTTAGGGTGATCACCTGTGACTCTTTCATGGATCGCTTGCATGTTGCTCACAAGTCACAATTCCGTCCTAGCCGCCACACACGTTTTCAGGATTTGGTTTTCTTTATGCCTGCCACCACACATTTTGCATCAAAAGTTTCCAACTGGCAATCTGTTTATTGATATTGGTTACAACTACGATAGATACTGTAAGAAATGCAAGCAGCTGCCCACGTCGGCTTTGCCAGAGTGGCAAAAGGTTGCACACATGTCGCGCCACCGGATAATTCAGGTTCGCCACGGTTGAGCGTACACGTGCGAAAAGCCAGGTCGGGCACACTCCACCCCCCATTAACCTCAACAACACTGGGCAAGGGTATGCACCATGAAATCGCCAGCACTACAACACGAATACCCAGCACTGTGTCCGATGCCATGTCTTTCTATGGCGTGAAATGAAGAGCTCCATCAACTTGCAGGTTTCGTCTATTTCCAGGCCGACATTCGACGACCCGTTTTCGAACGTCTCTTTCCCGGTGACACTTCCGTTGTTTTCTGTACGGAAATATCGCAACGAATGAACAGTCCAAACGTGCACAGGGGCTGTGGGTGGGGCGGGGGGTGGGTCTGATATCGATACCGGTACTATTTCCAGGCCGTCTGGCTTGGGGGGGCGGGGTCATGAAACTCTGTCAAAGGTATCGGCTCTTGCTTCACAAGCACATACTTCTAACATGAACCTGCATTCCTCGCGCAGCACACCCACCCACGACCGGAGTCCCGCATTAAATGGCCGACTAAAACACCAAGGACAACAAGAAACTGGCGGGACTCCCTTCCCGGTTCAGGGGCTTCTATGTTTCTGTGCCCATGCAACTGTACTGACAAGCACACCCGCCCAGGACCGGAGTCGCGGGATCCATTTCCAGATACCACTGAGGATCGAGCATACAGGGGGAGTCTGTTTATTTCGGTGTCTGTACAAGTGTACTAACAAGCACACTCATCCAGGACCAGAGAACGCCGACGTCGCATACCGTGGAAGTGATCCTGAGCAATTACCGTCGATGTTTTTCCATGCGGGCAGCTCTTCCCCAGGCACAAACCAGAACTTCCAGCACGTCTGGAGTCCCTGTACCTATTTCTTCTGGCCCCCTCCCTCACTCTCCCACCGTGGGTTCCGGAAATACTGGCAGGCAGAGTCACTCCCTCCCCCAGGTACAGTTTCTAGGGGTCCTGATGTGCACAGGGCCAAATGCAGCAACTACCGCATCCCGACCGAGGCTTCTACCGTGAAAACGGCAAAGTATCTCAAGTGCGCCCATTCCCAAAACCGGATGTTGGGCCCGAAGAGGGCAGTGGACTGAAAGACTGACAGGGCGAGACTCGCACGCCTTCTTAGAAACCCGCAATGTCTCCATGACAAGCTTTGTCTGGCTCCTTGTTGCATGCTTCCATGTTGACTCATCGACCTCGTCCACGTGACTCCGCCTTCTGCACATCCATCTCTCACGACAGGACACTAAACTGCTTCATCGGACAATCCCAAGACTCGTGGAGCTTGATACCCCAGCATAGAGGCCCAACGACAACACTACCGTCTCGCCAGCAAGCCGCCGCGAGTTTCGCGCTGTCGCCGAGGAAAGCCTTGCACCGGGCTAATTGGTCAAGCTCATGAACCTGCATGTTTCCAACTCTGATGCAGATCTGCGCTACCCGAGGATGCATATTGATTCGTTGACATCCGTCAACTCAGTGCTCTGCACCGGCTCCAACTCCGATGACATGAGCTCAAGTTTTGTTGACACGCGTTGAACAGTGAAGTCGAGGCTTCTACGAAGCATTGGCATTCAGTGGGCCAACGAGAAATGAACACAACGAAGGTCGAAATGTAGTATGGTCTGCGAAAGCTCATGGACAGTCAGCCACTGCAACTCTTAAGCTTCAAAGGCTTCCACGCCTGCTAAATACAAAGCCGAGGAGCAGGAGGACGAGAATGCCATGTGATTACCGAGTTTTGGGCGGTCTCTAGGCTATAAGATTTTCTGGATGGGAGTTGAATTTGAGGTATTTTGACGGAGCTTGATAAGCCAAACAAGCTCGGGCCCCGGCTTTTCGCGAGTGGCTGGTCCGAGCAGCTCTTGCTCCGCCTACTTTCTATGAAGAAGCGCAGAATGTGCAAAGCTGACTCCGGTCCTCGTCAAGCTCTTCCGATCGCAAGCCTTGCAGCCCGGCTTGCGAAAGTCTGTCTGACCCCTTTCTTTGCAAACATGAAGAAACTGGCCGTGCCTTCGCAGCTTGCTACTTGCCGGCCTTTGCTGTGATGCACAGATTGCGCGCACCCAGCCGACGGTGCTTCGACCTGACACTTCTCGAACTGCAACAAGCCTTGCCCTTCTGGCTGCAGCTGATACCGTTCGGAGAGCGAACTATCCCTCGTTCACTATTTTGCTACAGGCGCCGGAAGGCGGTTTACACAACTTACTCAACTATGGAACTCATGAACTGGCCAGTGTTCTCCAGGACAGCCTTGGCCAGTTCTTCTGGTGACACTCCACGGCAGCCAGCCACCACCTCTAAGACTTGCCTCATCTGGCACGGTTCGCACCTGTCCTTTACACACTTACCTTCTTCCCAACGCTCGGGCTTCTTCACCTCCTCCCACGAGCTTCGAACATACCCATATCCGGCATGTGATGGCTTGATGCCACACCAAGGTGCGTCCGTTTCCAACAGAATGCGATCCTGTGGCAAGGACTGTACGACAGCCAAGTTCTCTTGCGTTTTCAATGAGCAGCCGTTGATACCTATGAAGAAGCCCATCGACATAAATCTTCTCGCCTCTTCCAAGCTGCCATCGAAGCTGTGCACAACACCTGGTCGTTTTGGTAGTGCCTGCTTATATTTCTGCAGAATTGTCACCAAATCCTCGGCTGCCTCGCTGCTCCGGCAGTGCAAGAAAAGGGGCTTTTGCAAGGGGATCGCCAACTCCAAGAGCTGCTGCTCAAAAAACTTTAACTGCACGTCGCGTGTACAGAATTCCAAGCGGTCGTAGTCTAATCCACATTCACCGACTGCACAGCAGAAAGGAGCTGCAGTACGCGCGACGTCCATGAGTGCGCGAAGATGAGCTTTCGGGTCTGTCTCAAACTCAGAGCAACGAGTCGGGTGTACCCCAACCGTGCAGCAAAGACTCGGCCAACCGGCTTCGCTTACGCTTCTCCGGCAAAGCTCCAGTGCGTCGTGGCTTTCCTGCAAGCTGCCCGCCGTGACTATGATGCGGGTTACCCCAGCCTTTTGAGACCTGCACAAAACCGCAGACAAGTCTGGGGAGTGGCGAGCTTTGTCGCGGTAAACACCCTGGAACATAGGGTCCAACAAATTTGCTCCAATATCCACCAATGTGATGAATTGGGCGGTGGCATCAGCCGACACCTCGCGAAGTGCTTGTGCTTGGGTGCTTCTTGTCTCAGCTTGATCTTTTGCACATGGCCCTGCGAAATTTCGAGGAAGGCACCTGTACCGCCTCAATCCGCTCGACAACTCATCCCAAGCTGCCAGCATGGCCATGACGCTTGACACTCTTCTCAGCTTCCACTTCATTCGCTCTGCTATCCACTAAGACAAACACCAATTTGTGTGTGCGATGATAAACCTATGTTGCTATGGCTGCAACAAACGGTCGCGACTACAAAACTTCATCGCTTGCCAAAGCATGCTGCGCAGCACATCATTGATCATTGGCACAAGGTGTCAGGACCGAAACCGTAGCACTTCACAGGCTGTCTTACCCGACGCTGGATTGCTTGATTAATAATGAAGAATTTGTCGTCTTGCTGGAGCACGGTCGTACTTCAGACGAGGCCCGCACTTTACCCTTCGTCTTGGCCTTGCCCTTTGCTTTGGAGACTTTCTCGCGCCAATACCTCTCCTCGGCCAAGAGACAATACAAGTTGAATACAATTGCACCCAAACAGCGAAAACCCAGCACATGACATGGACGGAGGCAAGCGGAGCAAGAAAGAGTTGTTACCTGCCATGCCGGGGCTCTGCTGTGTCAGCAAGCAAACCTTCGTGGCCAAGGCTGAAGCAATTTCTGGCCATGGTCACGTCAACAGCATGCACTCCATCTGCCCCACTCGCGTAGCGAAGTAGAGGGAGATACAGTGTTGCTGCGGAAATCAACTTGGGTGGATTTTATTTAACATTGGGCTCTTCTGAGGAGGGGAGCTTTGAAAAGCCGAAACACCCGCAACAACTGAAAGCTTACAGGCGCGATGTTGACACGCATTGCTCAATGACCCATGGGACATGCATCAGCAAACTGATGGGCAAGCCCTGGGCAGCCGACCCCAGTCGTTCATGACCTGGCCCGCCCTCATCGGAGCACCAACCTACAAAAGAACTGCAAAGTTCGACTGGCTGCAGGACTCTGGCGTCAGGTTCCGCAACCTCTTTCTGTGTATATGAAGAGTCCTATCCCACCCAAACTCTGCAAACTGAGGGCCTGACCATGCAACTGACGAAGTTCCCGTCAAAATGGCGCCTTTCAAAGTCATCGCCCCATTCCTGAGCACACAGCTGGAAGGAAGCCAGCGACGTGCTACTACTACGATTGATACTACCGGTACTACTAGTACCACTGGTGCTACTAGTACTACTAGCACTACTTGCACTACTAGTACTACTAGCACTACTAGTACTACTAATACTACCAGTACTGCTAATAATACTACCAATACTACCAGCACTACTAGTACTACTAGTACTACTAGTATTACTAGTACTACTAGTACCACTAGTACTACTAGTACTACTAGTACTACTAGTACTACTAGTACTACTAGTACTACTAGTACTACTAGTACTGCTAATACTACCAATACTACCAGTACTACTAGTACTACTAGTACTACTAGCATTACTGAAACTACTAGTACTACTAGTAGTACTCGTACTACTAGAACTACTAGTACTACTAGTACAACCGCCCACCGTCCGGTGAAGCAATGCACCAGGGAGGCACTAACAACAACGGAAAGCATACGAATGATCACGACTCCGATGTTGCGTGAAGAAAAAACGACACGCAAGCAGATATGAAAGATATGATGATTGGACAGCTTTCGCCCACCCGAAACTCGAAGTCACGCTGTCATTGTACCAAAATGGCGAATGAAAACGAGGCTGAGGGAACACCTCGTCGCATGTTAACAAAAATGGAAGCATCAAGCTACACATAATACTGAGCCCGGGTTATGGGTCACACAACACTGACAAAACATAATTGACCCCATTTATAGAAGCGAATGTTGACAACTATTCGGTGCCTGCAACCATTGAGGGACGAACATTCATCTTTTGCCATGTGTTTCGGAACACTCCGGTGGCCTCAGAACATGCACTTGAGATGAGAGCTCTACCTTGTGCCACTCAAGGCGCCAACTGACCAACGGCGTTGTTGATCATCAAGCTCTCCGCTGTCAAATCTGCACACGTGCACGTTGATGCACGACAGCTGAGTTGCGCTACGATCACCGACTCTTACCTGACGGTCGACATGGTTTCGACCAAAGACCATGGCACGCACAAAACCAGCTTGTGGCCGATGCATCCAACTTTGCACGTTGCATGGATTTCGGAGCGATGATGGTTGTAAAGAAAACCAAACTAGCAAGACAGAACGATGTGCATTGGTGAATTTAGTTGCGGCAACACTAAGTATTCGGGAAGCACATGCTGTTGATCGCCGTGTGAACATGTACAACCTGCGAACTAGCCATCGTTTGAGCATTGATTGAACTTGCACCAAAACAAGCGAAGAACTTCAGCAAACGGGCCGACAAAGGCATGCAACTATCAGAAAACAAAACGCAGAAGAACAGCCTATGACTTGCTTGGAACACATCGAAAAGACCAACAAACTCCGGCACGCAGTGAATTCCCAGAAATCCTACTGAAGTTCAGTTCGCCATCTCAAACTTTGCTCCAATAACTACAAGCGACAATCGATGCAATTGTCACACGCGCTGAGTTCGGCAAGAGTTTCCGCAACACATCACATGCGTTGTTGCACTGAAAGCATGGTCCATCAGAAAGAAAAATAATATTAGACACGATTGCAACAAAATCAGTGAGTTCACAAACATACACTACAGCCACTTATCATACAGACATGTCGCGAGCAGGCTACCTCGTGTGCCAATGCAACACTCGGACTCCTTCATTTTGGACTCGGTGGTTGAACGAAGTTTGGATGCTTAGCCGGAGCATGAAGCAGACAGCGAAGTTCAGAATATGTATCGCCAAGTATAAGGCTACCGAGTGCTAAGAAGGAGACCGAACGCTAATGTCTCAGCCCAAAGCCAGAACGTGTTTGGTTGACTGACGGCAACAGACAACATGCAAGCGACGCTACACTACGGCAGAGTCACCGCATCAGGAAATGATGCTCAGAAGTAACTTCGCACATGTGGGGCTTGTGCGCAATGACAGGTCTTGCTCCCAACCTCTGAACCCGCAGGAAAATGGCAGCCCACACCAACGGGGGAAGCCGAAGCAACCGCGCACCGCCAGCGGTACTGCCATGCAGGTTTGCTTTTTTTTTTTTTGCCCATGCTATTGACCAGCCCGCACCGACGGGGGAAGCAAAGCGACCGCGCGCCGTCGGCGGTACTGGTCCACAGGCTGAGGCTGAGATTGCAAGCATACGGAGGAGTGCGGCTGAAAGGTTCTGACGTGACGCTGTACCTCACTAGTAGGCATGGCATCAGCAGTCAGGTGGCTGCCAGAGTAGCTGAGTCGCCTCTGGCCAGAGGCGCACATCGGAACGAAAGTGCCACAAACGCTCAAGAGGTAGCCGAACCCGATTATCCAGAAGCCACTTGGAATCAAGTTGGGACACCCCGTCCCAGCGAGACAGCGTGTCTGCATCATCATTGGCAACGCCTGGCACATGCGCCACCTCAAGTGTGAGGCCCGACAGGGCTCCAAATGAAGCAATACGCTGCAAGAACATGCAAACAGGATACACTGTAGAAAACAGTTTATTTATGGAAGATTCCGAGCCGGTGTTGTCGCTAAGTGTGGGCAAATGAATGCAAATGCGCCCCGTAGGCAGAACTGTAGATACAAGCAGTAGCAGCGCGTGTTGTGCCAGGACCTCGTACGAAGTGATGTCACGCTGAGCCTGCAAATTCATCTGCAATCCCACGTCAAGGAAGTCTTGCACCACAAAGCTTTCGGAAAACCAAATTAGCGGGCCCGCCTTTTCCAGCTGTTCTCCGTATACGTCTTATGGGTAGGGAGAGTGCTACGAGCGAAGTTTGCAAAAGTCAGTTCTCTCATCGGAAATTTTATTACCCAAATGATATACTGGGCAAAGCGAATATTTTAAAAGGAGAAATAAATGCTCACGCAGTATCCCCAGATCTATGTGGGGTATAAATGATCCTATCTTTCACTCGCACCTGGGGACTCACCCCCCCCATCTTCAATACCTAGTTACTATATCTTTCACTGAATAAGAATGTAGAGCAGCAGTGAAAGGCGCACCGGATGTTTTCAAAGCGAGTGGCGGCAGGCTCACGCAGGCATACTGTCGAATTCTCGCATGGTCTTTGACGTGATGGTAGGCGCACCTGTGTGCCTTTGCCCCCCCCTCAAAGCCCACGTGGTTTGAAAACAGAATATCTACAGGGAGGGATGGGTGGGTAACAAAGTTTTCTTCTCCTGAGCCTGAGCTCTGCTGTCGAAGAGTCTGACGTGACGCAGTGCACTCAACACATATTGGATAAATCTCTGTTCAAAGAAAGCATGCACAGCTAACGCAAAGTGCAAAATTAAACATCTTTTAAACTTCTCTTTTCTATCTTTTCTGAAGTCTTCACACTGGAAGGTCCAAACAACAGTACAACGCCCCGCCCCGCCCACCCAAACGATTACTCCAAACAGTGCCGCCGGGCAAAGCCCGGCTGGGCCTGTTCTCCGTATACGTCTTATGGGTAGGGAGAGTGCTACGAGCGAAGTTTGCAAAAGTCAGTTCTCTCATCGGAAATTTTATTACCCAAATGATATACTGGGCAAAGCGAATATTTTAAAAGGAGAAATAAATGCTCACGCAGTATCCCCAGATCTATGTGGGGTATAAATGATCCTATCTTTCACTCGCACCTGGGGACTCACCCCCCCCATCTTCAATACCTAGTTACTATATCTTTCACTGAATAAGAATGTAGAGCAGCAGTGAAAGGCGCACCGGATGTTTTCAAAGCGAGTGGCGGCAGGCTCACGCAGGCATACTGTCGAATTCTCGCATGGTCTTTGACGTGATGGTAGGCGCACCTGTGTGCCTTTGCCCCCCCTCCGAAGGCCAGCACGTCACCAAGGAGACTTGCCTCGCTTCCTCTTGCCCTTGATGCGTGGCCTGCCACCAACCGTGTCGCGGATTGACTCCGCTTCACGGGCGCTCAACTCTCAACTGCGAAAGCCTGGCTTCGTAAAGCGAATAAAGAAATGATAGAAGCAGATCTGAATGCTACAACGGAATCCGTAGCTCCTCCGAGAACAAATCGAATATCTCATTGGTATCATTGGTCAATGCGTCTGCTTCCTGATGTTCATCCCGGGGACGCCATCCCAAGCTGAGCCTCACGCTTGACTTATAAGAACAGAACACGCGTGAGCTGCCCATTCACCACTGCCTCTCGCCTGACTCACAGTCCTGGCTGCAGCAACCTTGAGTGTCATGTCACGGAAATGAGGTCAAGATAGTCTACGGTGAGTATGACGGTATTGAGCACCCACGCGACGGAGCTTTCGCTGACCGCTCCAACTCTATTGTGTTGCGAGGTGTGCTTTCAGCCAAACCAAAAGCCTGAGCACGAAGCCTAGCCTACCTAAGAACCCAGCAAACTTCCGAACCGAAATCACAAACTTCGAAGCCCTAGCCTCCGCAATCCACTTGAGCAGCCACTTTCCTCTCGGCTCCGAAACCCCAAACCTTTGAACGAGACAAGAAAGCTCGTGACCCACAAAGCCGAAGTGGGCCCTCCGCGGAACGTCTTGTAGGCAAAAGGGGTGCCAAACATCTCAAAGCATGCGGGCCTCATAAGCAAGTGATGGAACTCATCCCTCTCTGCAAAGTTGGCGTACACCTGTACTATAGAACTCGTTCTGACGCCTCAGCGCTGAGGTGATCAAAGGGGGGGCCACAGAAAGGGTTGCCAAGAGCTCTAACAAGTAAGTTGCTTCTGAAAGCGCGAGCCGGAGCGTGAAACACCGCGACTCCTGAGCAGCATCAGAACAACCCCAACCACCTAAGACTACGTAACCACCTGCACAAGCCACCCCGAACGGCCAAGCGTCGTCTCCCCACTTCACGGTCCTGGAGTCCTGGAGGCTGCACTCTTGAGGGTCATGTCCCGCAAGGTCAGGTCTGGGCACTAAAGGGTGAAGAATTACGGTAACCTGCAATTGAGCGACGGCAATGTCACTGACTGCTGCATGCCAGTTGTGTAACGCGGCCAAAAACACCTTTCGCAACATCGCCATACCCTAGGCCTACGGACATAGAGTGAGGCCTCCTCGAAATTTCTGACACGCGAAATGTGCACCTGCCTATGTTACCGAAGAGTCTTGACCAAGGAATGCTGAGAACTGCTCGGAAGAAAAGCTCCGAGCATACTGCCAGAGAATCATCCGCAGATGTTTGCGACAGTAGGCGGGCAACTTGAAATCGATGAAACCCGAGCACACAGACAGCACCTTGCTATCTGCGGGCAAGCATATCTGCACCTGCTGCATCTGACGCAGCCTTGCAACCTGCCGGCACGCCCTGCAACCTGCCGGCACGCCCTGCACCCGACTGCACCTTGCAACCTGGCGGCGCGCTGCACGCCCGAGCATCTTTAAAACTGCCCCTGACTGCTCCTGGCAACCTGCTGCACCTGATGGTGTCTGGACGCAGCTCATGACATCTTGCAACCTGCACACGGCTCTTTCGGGATGATGACACCGACGCCAGTTCTTCTCAGATTCTCTCAACGTAGGGGCAGGTCACAAAATATATACCGGGGACGAAACATCCCCAGAAGCCATTTCTGGCCCAACTTAAGGTTCTCGAGCCCAAATGCAGGGTTTGGGCCACTTCAGGGCCCCAGAAGCCACTTCTGGCCCAACTTAAGGTTTTCGAGCCCAAACGCAGGGTTTGGGCCACTTCAGGGCCCCAGAAGCCACTTCTGGCCCACAACGCAGGGTTTGGGCCACTTCAGGGCCGTGGGAACTCCGGGCAAAGCCTCGCAACCTCCACCTGACGGCATCTGCCAGGGCTTTCCAACCTCCACCTGACTGTCTTGGCTGAAGAACAGACCCAACCCCCAACGGAGCGGAAGCCAAGATAGCTTTGCCACGCGGCAGCGAGGTGGCGCTGCGCGGGCTCTCCTAGCGCTGCTTTCGTGAAAGCGGTTCTTGTGGAAGGCGCAGTGGAACGCCCCACGAAACCTCGCGAGCGGGCCAGAACCAGGCAACATCTATCAAAGGCTGTCTGAATCTCAGCGCTGCATCTAAATGGCTTTCGCACTTGGCCGAATAAGCTCTGCCGCCCGACGTCTAAACGCTTGACTAAATCAGAATGCTGCATCTGAACGCCTTGTGCCCTCGGCCACAACCAACTCTGATGAACAGCGTCCAAGAACCCCTGTATGAACCTACGGATGTTGCATCTGACCACTTTGCACATTGGTAGAACGAACTCCGAAGTTCAGCGTCTAAACGCCTATCTGAGTCCATGTTGAACCTGAAAGCATTGCGCACTTGCCAGAAAAGCTCTGAAACTCAGCGTCTAAACGTCCGTCTTGATCTAAGTGCTGCGCCTAAACGCTTTGTGCACTTGGCCAAAAAAAAAAAACCGACACGCCGCGTCTAAGTGCCGCGTCAGAACGCTTTGCGAACTTGGCCAAAATAAATTCTGAAACTCGTTATCTGCAGCGCTGCGTCTGAACGCTTCGCGAAACCTGCCAAAGTAAAGTCTGAAAACTCTGCGTCTCTGCGCATATCTGCGTCCAAGTGTTGCACCTGGGCGCCTGACGCCCTTTTGGTCAAGACAAGCTCTGAAGCACAGCATCTAAACGCCTGTTCGAACCTGAGTACTGTCAAATTGCATTGCGAACTAGGCCAACTAAAGCCTGATGCTCGGCGTCTCAACGCCTGTCTGAATCTGAGTGCTGCGTCTCAACGCTGTGTGCACTTGGTCACACAAACTCTGCTACTCAGCATCCGAAAGTTTGTATGAATCCGTAGATGCTGCAGCAGACGGCCTTGGGCACTTAGACTCGGTCACAGCCATTGCCCGCTACGGCGCCCCTTGAGCGCCCTCGATCTTGATGCTCCACTGCACACTTGATCACAAACACGGATCTATGTGCTCAAGTCCCTTGCGAGCCACATCCGCACGGAACATTCCGCAACTTTCTGCACCATCCTCCGTGAACGGCAAACGTCATTGCAGCACGCCCTCTGACGATGCTTCAGCATGAAATGTTCTCACAAAATGTGCCCAAATACACTTTGCAACTCGGCACCCAGAAGCCTCTCTGAATCTAAATGCTGTGCCAGAATGCTTTGCGCCCTTTGCGTCATGAACTTTGAAGCTCTGCGCCTGAGCTCGGCATCCCTGCCTTGGCTGGGCGCCTCTACAGGAATGCGCCCCAAACACGTCTGGCGGTACCTCTCCAACAAACGGGAGCTCAAGCGCTCTCTCAGGTCTGCTCTGACCATAGGACCGTTCTGCACCTCGATGCAGAGAAATGCGTTTCGCCCAGATCTGTGCCCAGCGCCGGCCTGAAACCATGGACACTTGAGGGTGCCACCCGAATCGGCCTCACGACACATGACCAAGATATCGCAGCTAGAGTTACCGCTCTCGATTGTGCTGTCGCCAACAGGTCGTCACCGACTACAGATCCAACACAAAGGATTGCAGCATTGCAATGCACCACAAGAAACTTGGATCTGCTACATCTGTCTCAGCTGCCCCTGTACTGAACTGCTATCACAGTTGGCCTCACCTCGCGTGATCACTGATTCAGCAGCGAGGATTGTAGCAATGGCAACACAAGAAGCTCGTATCTGCTGCGCATCTCGCAGCTGAACCTGTACTGCACTGCTGGTGCCGCCAGAGTCGGCCTCACCAACTGCGCAATTGCTGTCGCTAGCCGCTAGTTAGCAGGGCCGACTGCGCCCCGAGTGACCACAGACCTGTCACCTGAGGATTGCAGCAATTGCGCCAAGAAGCTCGTATTTGCCGCACATCTCACGGCTGATCCTGTACTGCACTGATGACCCCAACGCAGTCGGAATCACCGCAAATCCAAACCCAGGATTGCAGCGAACGCGCCACAATGAACTGCTTGTATCTGACACACATGTACCAATTGATGCTCTACCGCACTGCCGTCACCATCAGAGTCGGCAATGAGCCTTGACCAAGGACCTTGCAGCATGAGTTACAGCATGAATCAAATTGCTGTCGCCACCAGGGTCGGCATTGCCCAAACCGACTACAGATCCATCACCGAAGGGTTGCAGCGAATCATCACAAGAAGCTAGCGTCCGCTACACACCTCGCCGCTGATCCTGTACTGCCCTGCTGACACCGCTGGGATCTGCTGCACTTCCGGCAACCTGAAGCGAGGTGCAAACAAACAGGTTGCAACCGCAATCGATGAACGGTCGGCATCTGTTGCCCCTGCCCGCTGCACACACGTGCGATCGGCCTCACGGCTGCCCGGGTTCCCCAAGGCCATTTGTGCTTGGGGCTATCATATCCCACCGGTGTCACTTTCCGTTAAGGCATGACAACTAGAGGGTAGCCCTCCGCATTCCACTACCGCCTTGCCCGGCGGACTTGCACACACGTGCGATGAGATCTGCCAGCACTGGCGCCTACACCTGCTGCACGAACCATGCACAGCCCTCTCCACAAGCCTGTAGCTCCGCTCAACATATCGCAGCCGGCTGAAAACCCTGCAAATCGGCAAGCCCATACCGAACCAAACACCGCATTGCCGCGGCGAGCACGCACGTGCGGATCAACTCCCGGTTCCAAACTTGACCCGCATGGAATGCAGTTTCCCCGCCTGCTTGCCAGGACCAGCTTGATCCCGCCGCCGCTCTGAGGGCCAATCAAAGCTGCCACAAAACATGTTCAGTACCAATCTTTGCATGCTGCATTGTCCTAGTGCTGCGTGTGCAAGTATGAAATGCGACCTGATTTTCGTCTTGCTGCCCAAACAGCTCTAAAGCTCCAAAACTCGCCTGCACTCACAGCCAGAGTTGTAGTGTGCAGTTGCTGTTGCCACCAAGGTCGGCAACGCTCAAGTGACTACAGAGCTGTCACCCAAAGGATTGCATCCAAAATGCAAGAAGCTCGTATCAGCTGCACATCCCGCAGCTGATCCTGCTCACGGTTTGGGATGACCTTGAAAGTCCGACCTGATGTACTGTCATAGAACTACCTGGATCTGCTGCACATGTAACCGCTGATACTCTACCGCACCGCTGTCGCTACCAAAGTCGGCATCAAGCCGTGTCCACAGACCTTGCAACAACGGTTGTAGCGCCTGAACGCTGTCGCCACCAGTGTCGGCATTTGCCCCCCGTGACGACGGATCTATTACCACAGGATTGCAGCAAACATCACAAGAGGCGCGTATCTGCTGCTCATCTCGCAGCTGATCCACTGCCGTTGCCACCATAGTCTCATGCCCTGTGTGGAAGCACCCTGTGGTCTTTGCTGGATTTTGATCGCCAGCCGCCCTAAGGCCTGCGGCTGCAGTGCAATTCGTCAGCTCGCCGCCCTGAGGCCTGTGGCTTCGATGCAGTTTCTTCGGCACCTCACGGCTTGCGCCGAGTGTGACTTATCCCTGCTTGAACAATGCAAATACAACGAATCGCACTCAGCATGAAATGTTCTGACGGACTGACGGGATCTATTTCAAGTGTAGAAAATGCAGATCAGAAGCTGGGATCTACTGCACATCCGGCAACTGATGCTGCGCGCCATTCGTATCGCGACCAAGGTAAGGCGGTGTGGCAGCAGATCCAAACCCTGGATTGCGGTGAATGCGCCACAAGAAACTTGGCCCTGCTGCACCTCTGGCAATTGATAGTCTACGCACTGCTGCCACAGCCATAGTCGAGCTTCTGGCCAGGATTGCAGCGCACGGTTGATGTCGGCACTATGGTTAGCACAGCCCCAATTGTCTACAGATCCACCACCAAAGCTTTGCAGCAAATGCGTCCTAAGAAGCTCGTACCTGTCGCACATCTCGCAGCTGATCCTGTACTGCGATGCTGACACCACCACCTTCGGCCTCACCTTATGTGACAACTGATCCCTCAACGAGGATTGCAGCAAATGTAGCAACAGAAGCCGTGATCTGCATATCTCGCAATTGTGATGCTGCGCGACACCGTGATGCCGCTGCCAAGTTCGGTACTGCCGCAAGTGGCCACCGATCCAAACACAGGATGGCAGCAAATGCGCCCCACGAAGGTTTGGATCTGCTGCCCATCTAGCAACAGATCCTGTACTGCACTGCCGATGCATCCCCAAACCGGCATCAACCCAAGTAAACCATAACCACAAACTAGTGATCGATCACCCAGAACTGCAGCAAAAGGCATCACAAGACTGTTGGATATGTCGCACAACTAGTAGCTCATGTTGCACGAAGATGTTGTCACCATGCAACGTCAACTTTGCCACAAGTCGGTACAAACCCAGCACCTAGGAATGCAGCCAGCGCACTCCTGCCCCATTCTCGCAGCTAGTCAAGCAGCTCATCCTGCAACGCACTGTTGTAGCCACTAATATCGACCTCACCCATGCGACCACTGCTAAGCTGCTACAAGCACGACACTCATCGCCATCCTCAGCTCCCACGGTCTTTCGGCCCGAGAATGCCTTTGAGTTGGAGTTGTGGATCGTTCGGTGCTCCTGCGCGGCACTGCAGTCGCCTCCAGAAGCATCATCCCAAGTGACAAGAGATGCGTCTGAATCTGTCCCGCATTCTCATCTGCTTTCTGGTGACCCTTTAGGTCCCCCAATAAACAAGGATCCATCGCTCAAGATTCCAGCAGTTGCAGCCCCAGTTGAACACAGATCCACCGATCAGGAGCGAAGCATATATGCACGATAGGAGGCCTGGCCATTGAACATTCTTCAGTCGCTCCTGTAAGGTACTGCTGTCGCCACCGCATCCGACCGGAGCCTGCCCGACACCGTATCACCTCACAGACGCGGCATCCAAGCTTGCAACGAAGACTGCATCTGAAGTCTTGTCGACGGTACAGTTTTCGTGGCCGATCCTTCTCACTACGCAGCGGAGTCATCTGGAATGTGCCGACACACACACCGAAAAGCTGAACCTCAGGGCTGGCACGTTCGCACCTGCAACCACTGAGATGACTGCATGAAAACGCATAAAATACATTAAAGTGAGCCTGTTTCCCCTTGCGTCTCTACGCCAGGATGCTTTCTGCGAACCGTTGCTAGCTGAAGCTGTGTCCTTCGAACCCCTTCAATGTTTGACCAAGCTCCAGAAACCGAAACCGACCTCCTCTACAACAAATTTAAGGGACGTGCCAGCGCATAGCATTGCACTTTGCCACGCTCGATCGAGAAAGTTCCCCCCTGCGTCAGCCGAGAGAGAGAGCACGGCCGTGCCACCGCTGGTGACATGGGACCTGAAGACGTCAACTGATGGTCGTCCATCCGCCGGGCAACACGCCCCCTCCGGCTTGCACGAAGCTAAACCTTTAGCGCCTGCAGCGGGCCTAACAGCTACGTTAGAAATCACACACGCGCCCCGAGGCTTAACAAAGTTTTCTTCTCCTGAGCCTGAGCTCTGAAGTGCAAAACCCCCGATGCCGATGCAGCTGCCTGATGCCATGGCATCGGCTGCTATCAAGAAAGGGGCAGCCACAAGAGGTGGGCGCAATGCACGCATGCGGGGTGTGCAAATGGCCCAGCGCATCCAAAATTTCACAAACTCCGTGCTGGCGGCACTGAGTCTGCGCTTCTCAGTACGTGGATCCGCGATGCGAAGCCAGATCCTTTTCCCTGAGGGCTGCACAAGCTTGAAATCACACTTCCGATGCAATTCCACATGTTTAGCGGACAAGAGTTTGCCCCCTATCGGAATGCCAGAGCCAGCAGGGCTGCTCACGAAGTGCATTGAGCTGTCCAGGGCGGCCGGTAGGGACTGCCACAAGCCCGGATTCAAGCTGAAACTTGTTCCTAGCGGCCTGGCCAAATCGTTATACAAGGAAGACAACCAGGGTTTCAGGGCCGGAGCTATGTGCAGAATCCAGTGCAAAAGACCTATGAGGGACTCAAGTGCTTTTTTGGTGGTGTAGCGATGCTCGACCACCGCCACGCAAGCGGCAAGCAACTTTTGCAATTTGTCAGGTGGTACACTGAAAACTTGCGCACGCAGATTAAACTGCCACCCGATCCACCGGATTGTGGATCCTAATTGCAATTTGGCCCACGACAAAGGTATGTTGAAGGCGGCGCAGAACGCCAGCAGCAGACTGGCCATCAATTCAATGACGGAGCTCGGCTGGACCATGAAGTAGTCGTCTACGTACGACCAAAGGGCGTGTTGCAACCAGATCAATAAATGCAATGTTCGAGTGAAGAAAGAGGACACCCGTTGAAACCACAAGGCACTGAAAGTCCCCCCGAAGGGGGCTACGCGATAGAACCAGAGCTGGCCGGCGGCCTCGAAGCCTAAAAGACCCTGTTCCTCAGGCTTGATGCGCACAGTCTTATGTGCTGCCCGGATGTCGAAGGAGAAGCCGGCGAGTTCTGAAGTAGAGCCCCTCAGTGGCAGACTATTCATCACATCCTGTAGGCCTGGTAGCGAATATTTTTCAGGGATGACGACCGAAGTGTTAGTCCCTGACACAGTAGTGTCAACGATGAGCCGGGCTTTACGTGGACTCAGCATCGCCACCAACAATGTTGCATTTGCCGATTGCAACTCTATCGCCCCAGCGAGCCTTAGCCGCGGCTAGGCTAGGTCCGGCATCGAGAAAATCCAGCCTTCACTTTCCTCCTTCTGCACCAATTCTGCCAGCAATTCCGGCTGCTCTTCTGCCTGTTTCCAGTTACCTGCGCAAATGTGCAAATTTTCAACAAGCTCCTGCCGATCATGTTGCACCGGGATAAACACATTTGACTTAGGTATGTTAGCATCAATGCCGGTGGGGACGCCCTCCAGCAAACAGGGCCAGAGCGAAGTGTCGGGGTCATCCAGCACTGTCGCTAAGTGCTGAAGAGCAGCTAAGGCATAAGGTTGGAATTCCGGAATTTCCCAAGATACATCCTGAACACCTTGCGATGCGAACCATGCTGACGCCAGCGACCGCAGCTCTGTGATTTCAGCAGGCGTGAACAGGGGCTCCTCGGAGCCGGCCTGCACATGCTTGCGTAGTCGAAGGGGAACATGCTTGGCGGCCAACCAGTCTGACCAGGCCTTCCTAAGGCCTTGCAGCTTGTCTTGCTGGCCCGGCGGAGGGCACGACCAATCGGGCAACGATGAGATGCCACCTCCGTCTTGATTAGCCCGCAGCAATGTGCTGTGCGATTTGGGCTGCAGCATGGTAAAGGCTTCCTGAACAGAAATTACAGAGCCTACAGAGCCTTTATTTTCCAACGAAACTTCCGTTAGCGCGCGTTTGGGAAACCCTAACTGCGCTGCAGAGGAACCCTGTGCAAAACACTCTCTTTTTTCTCCTAGCGGACATGGGGGGTCAGTTCGGGCCCGATCTTCGGGCACTGACGAAATGATGCCACTGGCATCATGATTCAAAACTCGACCGCTGGTCGATGGTAAGGCGAACGACTTGTTCACCCCCCCTACCAGGGAAAAACCCGTACCACGGGAAGGTAAGGTGAAACATTCTCTGACCTACTGGGTCACTGCAGCTACCAGTTGCTACTCTGTAGTCTGACGGCCTACGGCCTATGTACAAGAGCGCACTCTGTGCTGACGCCTCTTTGCTGGAGAAAACATAGGAGCGCTGCTCCTGGCAGCTCTGCTGCTGACGCGGTGTCCCAGACCCCGCATACTATACAGGGTGTGGTGGGTGGGATAAAAACTTTTTGGATCACAGATCCAACTCCAAGCCGAAAGCTGCACGGCAAAGTTTGTCTAGTGTCACTCACACACAAGTGAAAACACTGTTTTCCTTTTTCGTCAAACTTTGTCTACACTTTCGGCGGAAAATAAAACCCATTCACGCACGCATGATGGATGCTTATTTTCCAACGAAACTTCCGTTAGCGCGCGTTTGGGAAACCCTAACTGCGCTGCAGAGGAACCCTGTGCAAAACACTCTCTTTTTTCTCCTAGCGGACATGGGGGGCCAGTTCGGGCCCGATCTTCGGGCACTGACGAAATGATGCCACTGGCATCATGATTCAAAACTCGACCGCTGGTCGATGGTAAGGCGAACGACTTGTTCACCCCCCTTGAAGGCACTCGAAGCCTTACTCACCCCCCATCTAGTCCGCGCCGAGTGACAAAGCCAACGGCACTGCGTTGGGCGGCAGGTATTGGCGCGCTGCGCCTAGCCGCTCGGTCTCTTCCCACCAGTCTCTGCTGGGGCCATCAGCGATGTTGCTGTCTGTCGGGACTCGGAAGAAAGCAGCCCTGCACTGCAGAGACTCTTCAAAGTCCACCGCTTGCGAGACTATCGCTGCGCCTTCTACCTTGCGTGTGAAGGCTTTGTGTAAGGAAGTACGCGCTGCGTCGTTATCTATCCAGACGAACAGGTCACTGCCTGCTATATGCTTGGCCCACAGTTGAAGGCTAAGCAAACAGGGCAACAGCTCGCACTCGTAGACCAACTGCTGCTTCTGTGCCCTGGCAACCCACTGGGCTGCGACCTGGCTGCTGATCTGCAGCCCCCAGGTGAAGGCGATGCCTTCTCCAATGAGCACTGCTCCGAGGCCGCACTTGGGCACCAGTCGCGGGGTCTCCCACTCGCAGGCCCCGTCGATGTACAGGTGCACCTTCCTGCGCGCATGGATGGACACTGTCCTGGGCGGTCCATGCACTACTCGTTGCAGCAGGAACGCCATGGCTTGGCATTGCTGCTCGGTGAGGGGGACTTGCTCTGGTCCATCCCCAAGGACGTCGCCTACGCAGATCACTGCCATGCGAGTGTTGCGACCCCAGGCTTGCTGCTCAGCGAAGATGAGCCTGCCGCGCAGGCTCTGCGCTTCCAAGGGGGACATGCTGCCCCGGGCGAGGGCCTCGCTGAGGACCAACCCCAGCTCTGCTGCACGGGTCGGCTTGTTACTCACGGAGATTTCTCCAAGGTGCTGCTTAGACAAGTCGACTCGCACGCCTAGCACGTCGAAGACTTCGCTGAAGTCGGCGTTCTTCTTGGGCTCGGTGGCCACTTGCCAGCCCAGCTTGTTAAAAAGGTTGGATACCGCCAACGTGACGAGCTTCGAATGCGCGCTGCGCGTAAGAACGGTGAAGTCGTCGAAGAAGCTCGTCATGACCAAAGCAAGCTTTTCGCGGCCGATGGCTTTCAGCGCCTCGCTGCAGCGGAGGAAAGCGTGCACGGCGGCCACTGCGCCGAAAGGCATGCTGTGTAGGTGGGCTATTTTGACCTTCCCACTCTGTGGGTCCACCATGACGATGCACGCGAATTTCTTGTGTGCGGCCTGCACTGCAAGCTGTTTGTAGGCACTCTTGAGGTCCCAGGTCCTGCCTACGATGCGGTGGGCCCGCTCTGCGGGCACACCCTGGCGCAGCCACTCGAGGCATACGGCAAGGAGCTCGTCGATGCTATCGACTTGGACCTTCTCTGTGGTCCCGCAGCAGCTGTTGATAAAGCTGCTCTTAAAATTATCAATGGGGCGCACTTTGCCCTTTTGCCGACGCCGAAGCGAGACGATACTATCGTCTCGTGCAGTTTTCCTGGCGAAAAGTCCTCCAAAGAGAGCCAGCCCTGCTGGCCTTCCTCTATTGTGCTTTCCCAGACCCTGTCCGAGACCCCGTCTTGCGAGGGGCGCAGAGCGCTGCGAACGCCGCGCATACCTATGCTATGGGCGTTTTCTAGTATTGACTTCTCATCTAGAGAAGGAGGCAGAATCTGCACTGGCCACAACCCACTGGGTTGTATCCAGCCAAGCAGGGGAAAACCTTCCCGCACCTGCTGTGCCAATGTCCTGTCCGGGAAGTCGATTTCATTCAGAAGCTTTGCTAAAGCTACTGTCTGCTTGGGCTTGGTGACACTGTTCACCTGAGCGTCAATCGACGAACGTACCCCGGTCTCGAGGGCTTGGCACTCTGTGCAAGTTCTCGATATATGCATCGATGCCAACGTGCGGCGCTTGGCTAGCAGGACAGTGTCTTCGTGCACTTCGGCTGCGATGGCGCGCTTGAGGGATAGAGGCACTGCCTCAATGTCCCTGGCTGGGTGATCTATGAGATGCGCTCTGCGCACCCAGTGTAGAGGCTGCAGCGGGATGGCGATGATAGCCTTCTGGGAGGCTTCGATCCACTGGATGAGCCTAGAGCCTTTTGGGAAGCAAGTCCACGACTGTGGTAGCTTCTGGGGGGTCTTCCAGCCTCGAAAGCACCGCGCTGCGGGGCCTTGGAGAGTGACTTTGTCACTGAAGTCTGGCTCGTAGCGCAGGCGACGCAGACGCTTGCGACTGAGAGGCGCTGCCTGGAGTGCTGCTGCGCATTGGTCTGCCGCGAGGGAGACCCAGACAGAGCTCAGCTGAGTGGTGTAGGCGCTTTCTAGGGAGGTGGACCACACTGTGGAACCATCCACTGAGGCTCTGCCCCAGGGCAGGTGTTTGTGGCCTCCGTCGCAGTCCCTGCTTAGACCAGAGAACCAATCCAAATTTGAGAGGATTGCAGTACGCTTGCGGCGCATGCTTCCGAACATGCACGCGTCAAACTCCACTCTGTGAGCTGACTGCAAGGCCTCTCTGAGGCAGGGCATCCTCCAAAGGAGGCTACGAGCTGGATTTTCTATGGACCAGCAAACGCCGCGCTGCGACAGGGAGTGGCAACACTGTGCCATGAAAGCGACTAGGCTGTTCGCGCTGCGAACTCGTGCTGCGTCTGCTCCTCGGAGGCCTTTAAGGCCTGCTGGGCGCGATTCGCTGCGCAAAGGGCCCGGCGCTCCCGGCCTGGGAATCTCTCTAGCTCTGCTAAAGGTGCCGCACGGCGGGGCCCAGTGGACCCATCTCAGGTCTTGGTGTGAGAGCACTGCCCTCAGCAGGTTGCGACCCAGCTGCGTACAAAGGTCGAGCTGCAGGACCTTGAGGCCTCTGGCCTTGGTCTTGTGATCCACTGCGACGTTCGAGAAGCCTTTCTCGATGGCTGCCTTACTAAGGCGACCGAGGCCGCAGAAAACTTCCACAAACAGTGGCGGCCGAGGGGTCGCTTTCGGAGCAGGCTCAGGGAGAGGAACTCCCAGAGCGTTGTCTGCAGGCACGCTGTGCTGTTCCGACAACAGGAGCGCTGGGGGGTCGGCGTTTGCCGCTAACCCTGCGTCAGGCGACGGCGCAGCTGTGGCACATCCTGGCTTACTTGTTGCAGGCGGGTGCAGCGACGGTGCCGAGGTGGGAGGTTCAGGGCTCTGCCCTGCGCTTGGCGCGTTGGCAGGGAGGCCCAGCGCTGCTGGGCAAGGAGCTGCGGGCTCAGTGGCCGAGGGCTGTTGCGGCTCTGCCGCGCTCAGGGCAGGGGTGCCTAGTCAGGCGGCCCCTGCGTTCTTGGGGCAATCTGCGGCACCGTGGTCGGTGCTGCCGCAGCTCATGCACTGATGCAACCCCCTGTCGCACTGCTTGGGGATCCGGAGGTCTCCAGGTCGCACCCGCACTGCAGGTTGAAACCGTAGCAGAGGCGCTTGCCCGACTTGGAAACGCTGTTCAAGTGGCGGAGCTCTTTGGGCATGCTCGGCGGCCTGGAGCGGTCTGCGCTCTCGTGCCGTTTGCCCTTGCCCTTGCCGCGGCCTTTCTTGCCGCCTTTCTTGCCTTTGCCGGTCGTGCTACGACTGCGGTCTTCTTCGCTGCGCGTAAAGCTGCGGCCCTTGCCCTTGCGACCCCTGTCCGCCACTGGCGAGGGGAGCAGGTGCAGCGTGACAATCGGATCGGACCACATGTTCTCTACTAGAGAATCTAGTGGCCTCTTACCATCCTTGTCCGGTTTGCAACCCTTGCGACACTCTCGCGCGAGCAGCGTCCACAGTTCTTTATCGGCCCGTACTACGTGCCAACTGTTGCCGCGCTCCATCCCCGGCGGCGCTGGCCGGTTCAGGACGGAGAAGAACTGTCTCACGAGTCTCTCGTGAATCGTGAAATCCAACACGCCGACTCTGTCGAGCGCGAGACCTCTGCGCGTGAGCGCCTGCGTGAGCTTTAGCTCATTGCCGATCTCCACGTGCACGCTGTGCTCCTTTTTCTTTACTGTGATCTCCCCAGACTGAGCTTTCACGACGATTTTGTTCCAAAACGTGCCGCGTTTTCTTGGGAAGGGACGGTACTTGTTTGGAGAGGCTGTTGTTCTTGTGCTGACTGATTGATGGAAAAATAATCAAACCCTACTACAACAAATCATTTTCAAGTCCA